GTAGTCTAGACGACAGTGAGCAGTGAAGTCGACAAGCTCGGCAACTAAGGCAGACGCAGCAGTGGACTCAAAGGAAGGGTCAGTGACAACAGTGGCTAGGACACGCGTGACAGTAGGACTGGCAGCACGAAGGGAGTCAGACTCCGGGTCAGCAAGAGCAGGAAGAGAGGACGCTGGAGGAGACGGCAAAGGGACACGCTGTGGCGCAGTGGAAGGACGCAGTGCCATCTGATGCGTGCCCGGGACCGCAGGAGGACGCTGACGGGGAACACGACGACTAGTGCGAGCAGTACGAACAGGCGACGCTGGACGCGACTCAGGCTCACGACGCTCAGCAAGACCTCCAGTAGGACCAGCGTAGGGAGAAGGAGCAGGTAGAGGGGAGACCAGCTGTAACAGTGACTCGGACTGGACAGGCGGAGGACACTCTAAGGAAGGAGCAGGACTAGGAGAAGGCGGAAGACCAAGAACCTGCTCAAGGAGCGGAACGAAGTACGGCCGCGGCCGCGCAGCACCTCCAGAACCAGCAGGGACAACACCAGTACCCCCAGCGTCAGCTCCAACTCCAGCAGCACCACCAGCTACAGTACCTCCAGCAGCTCCAGCTCCAGCAGAACCACCAGCAGACACAGCCGCTCCGGCTCCAGCACCTCCACTAGCACCCACTCCAGCAGCACCACCAGCTCCAGCTCCACCAGTAGCTCCAGCACCAGGAGCACCACCAGGCCCAGCAGCTCCAGTACCTCCAGTACGAGCACCTCCGGGACCCGTGGCTCCAGCACCCCCAGCAGAAGCAGAACCTCCAGTACCGGCTCCAGCAGCACCTCCAGCTCCAGAACCTCCAGCAGCAGCAGAACCTCCAGCACCGGCAGCACCTCCAGCTCCAGCAGCACGGCTCCAGCGGCGAGCAAACCACTCGCGCAGCTCCTGTGGAGAGGGAAGCTCCCGCTGGGACAAAGCACCCGAAGGACCGCCAGGTCCAGCACCGACAGGCTCCACACCCCCACTCCCAGCAGCCCCAGGCTCAGCACCCCCAGAAGCAGCACCACCAGGCCCCGCACGCTCAGGCTCAGCACCCCCAGACCCAGTACCCCCAGGCTCCGCACGCTCAGGCTCAGCACCCCCAGACCCAGCACCCCCAGGCTCCGCACGCTCAGGCTCAGCACCCCCAGACCCAGCACCCCCAGGCTCCGCACGCTCAGGCTCAGCACCCCCAGACGCACCAGAGTCTACCGGACCCTGAGGGGGCAGGACCCTGAGGGGGGAGGGGGTCTACCGGGGGGGGACCGGGAGCGAGGAAGAGCGGCGGGGGGGGGAGGGGGGCAGTGCGGTAGGGGAAGAGACGGTAGTACGGAACCGACTCGTCAAACGTGACGTCCTAGGAGGACAGAACACGACGCGAGGTGGGGTGGTAAAACTGCCAACCAGGCGCGTCAGGGGGAAAGCCGAGGAAGACGCAACGAACAGCACGGGAGGACAGCTTGTCCGCAGACAAGTCTCGGACGAAAGCTCGAGGTCCCCAGACACGGAACGCAGACGCATCACCAACCTTCCCCGTCCACCACAGAGTAGGGGAGGTCTCCGGCAGGGAGACCCTGGGCTGAAGGTTGATCTGAACCGCGAACGGCCACAGAAAATGGGGAGCAGCCGCATGGATCATGGACGTACGAGCGACATCCATGACCATGCCAATGCGGCGCTCAGCAATCCCATTTTGCTGTGGAGAGGCCGGAAGCGTGAACGTCTGGCGGATGCCCTCCGCACGACAGAAGGCTCGCAGAAGGTCGGAGGAAAACTCTCCGCCTCTGTCGGAGTGCAGACGCAGAACAGGAAAGTCCGAGCCGAAACGCTCTCTGAGCTGGAGACGAGCAACGCGGATCCAGTCGATCAACACCTCAGTGACCTCACCCTTGCTGCGCAAGGGGAAGACAGTGGTGTAACGCGAGTAGTCGTCAACCACCAGCAGGAAGTAACGCTCGTGACCCTGTCCACGGACGCGGGCTGGGCCCCACACGTCCATGTGAAGAGTCTGCAGCGGAGCCTCTGTCGGGGGAAACTCGGAGGAGTGAGGAGCGGCGCGCTGCCGCCCCTCGACGCAGGGAACGCAGGTAGGGGCAGGCCCCGGGGGAAGGGGAGGGAGGGACCGGGGGAGACCAGAGACAAGGACACGGGAGGCCATGCCTCGGAGACGAGGCAAGGAGGGGTGACCAATGCGGTGGTGCCAGAGGAGGGTCTGGTGGGACAGGAGGTGACACGAGCAGGGGGCAGACTCAGGACCTGACCGAGACGCTGCAGCAAACACCTGACTCGACGCAGCTACCTGACCAGACGCAGCAACCGGAGGAGACTCTGTGGTCAGTGTGTACAGACTCGACCCCGGTCGACGGGTAAACGAGTCCAAGTGGCGGCCCGTCTGAGCACACGTGCAGTGGGTCACTCGCTGACCTGCAGGAGTGAACTGGTCAACCCCGGCATCCTGAAGGTCAGCACCACTCACCAAGTTCGTGGAGAACGAGGGGAGGTAGAGACCAGACAGGGAGCCTGACGGGGCCGCCGGACACGGGAGGACAGTGGATTAGCGAGCAAGGACAGGACCCCCAGAGGGGTCTGCCAGGGAGACCGCAACCGGCCGACTGAGCGGCGTAAGGGTGGTGCGGTCTCGAAAGAAGGAGCGGGAAGCACCCGAGTCGAGGGTGAAGGTGTGAAAGACCTGAGCCGACTCGGTACCTGAGAGAGCAGACTCACCAGCACCTAGAGCAGCAGACTCACTAGCACCTAGAGCAGCAGCCTCAATACCAGGGTCAGGCGGAACACACACGTAACAGTCACCCTCAGCACTAATAGACACAGCATACATGGCAGCAAGAATAGCATCAAAGTCAAGATCAAAGATAGCTACCCCCGACCTGAGCAGATCTCCCCAATGAGGGATCTCAGTGGCGTCCGGGAACTGGGCACGCCAGGCGTCCGTCAGGCGACCGAAGCAGCGCTGGGTGGCGTGCAGGCCGCCACACTGCTCTCCAGGGCGGTCACCGGTGCGCAGGACGTAAGTACAGGGACCAGCACCCCCAGACCCCTGGCGCCCCGCGTACCACTCACGAAGCTGCGGGGGCGAAGGGGTCTCACGAGAGCGCTGCTGCTGCTGGGGTCCCCGCTGCACAGCTCCGCCTCTGCCAGCGCCACCGCCGCCGCCGCCGCCTTCGCCTCCTCCACCCCTCCCGCCACCGCCACCGTCGCCTCCACCTCCACCGCCGCCACCGAAGCCCCCACCTCTGCCACCACCCCCACCCCCACCCCCTCCTCCGCCTCCACCGCCACTACCGCCGCCCCCGCCACCTCCTCCAGCTCCCTTGCCCCGCTTGCCCTTGCTGAAGCGGCGCCTCTCACTAGGAGCAGACGCAGCGCTGACCGACTCGGTGCCAACAAGGTCGACAGCAGCAGCAGAGGCAACAGAGGGCAAAAGAGGAACGGGGGAGCACCCCTCAAAGAAAGGGGTACGGGGGTCACCACGAGAGGCGCCTACAGCGGTGATGCTAGTCTCTGCTGCAAGGAGGCGCTCCTCGAGGAGGTCGACAGTGAGGGTGGTAGGGCAAAGAGAGAGGAAGTGGTCCCTGACCGAGCGGAGAGTGTCAGGGAGTCGAGTGACTAGGTAGTAGAGGGTGATGTATATGGGGGGGGCTGCGCTGCTTCCGCCGACTGTGGTGCTGGCGGGGACTGTGGTGCTGGCAGGGACTGTAGTGCTGGCGGGGACTGTGGTGCTAGCGGGGACAGTGAGGGCGCTGGGAGTGACCTTGGGCGTGGGAGTGACGCGGTTGAGAGCAAGGCGGCTATGTTGCACTATACGCTTAGCATATTTCTCGTTTCACGTATATGCGTTCACGTATAAACGCAAAAGTGTGAAACGGGGACAAATGCACGATACCGAAAGCCGGGCAGGAAAAAAAAACACACACACACACACACAAAAGTTAGCGCTTTTTCCGTACGCAAATATACCTACATTTCGGGTCGCGTTTTTCCAAACAGGGGACGTGCAAAACCGAGTCGCCACGTTCACCCCACGAACATCAACATTGCGCCCAATCACTCACCCCCAACCCCAACAACTTGTGACCAACCACAGCACGTCCCCCACCCCCCAACCAATTCGTGGTAAGTATAATTGACCCCACCTCAACACATTTCTCATCCAGTTGTCATCCCTGTTCAATGTTGAGCTATGTCTACTCCAGTCCCTTCTCCCGACACTCAGCGTTCTGGTCCGTCTACTCAGCCTACTGATCCTTCAGCCTCGACCTCGGAGGCGCAATGGCAGGAGGAGGATAGTAGTCATGTCGTTTTCAAGCATTTCAAGGTTCCCATCCGTCCCGACACAGTAGTCGGGGTTGTCCGCGTTTGCAAGTATTGCGCCATCGAGTTCAAGGGTGGTGCGTTTCGATGCGCTCAGCATCTCGCGAAATGGAAGGGACAGAGATCTCGCGACGTCCGCCTGTGCGCTAAGGTTCCGCCCGACATGCGAGCGGCGGTGCGCGAGCATTACGAGAAGAAGGCAGCCAACCGCGACGAAAAAAGGCGGGCCGAGGATGCTGCGCTCGATGATGTCGTGGGAGGTGCGAAGAAAGGCCGCATCACCGACTTCATTGGCGACGAGGCGGAATGCAAGAAGGGCGAGGCGGACAACTAGGTCTGCTTGTTCTTCGCCGGCTGTCACATTCCCGAACACCACGCCAACAACCTGTTGTGGCGCAACATGGTCAGGGCCATTAACAACGCACCCCACGGTTATGTCGCGCCGCGACGGAACTACGTGGGAGGAGCTGGGCTGAAGCAATGCCGCACGGGCATCGAGAAGGGGCTTCAGCCAATCGCCGCGAGCTGGAAGAGGGATGGCGTCACCGTCTCCTCCGACTTGATGACCGATCGGTGCGGGAGGCCGCAGGCGAACGTCATGCTGGTCAACGATTTTGGGAGCGGTGTTTGTCGAGGCTATCGACTGCAAGATGGAGTCAAAAACCGGCGGCTACATTGCGTCCCTCCTCCGCCCCATTATCAAGAAAGTGGGGCCCGAAAACGGAGTCGCCCTTTGCATGGACGGGGGCTCCAACTACGGGGCCGCCTGCAAGGAGCTGATGGCGGATTGGCCGCACATCGAGTACGTGCCGTGCGCTACGCACGTGCTCGACCTCCTCGTGGAGGACGTGGGCAAAATCATGTGGTGCAAGGACATTGTAGATCGGTGCGGGGACATGATCACCTACGTCCGCAACCACCATTTCACCCGCAATTACCTGAGGAGTGGGGCGGTGAAGGGAGGAAAGGGAAAGCAGCTTGTGAAGCCGGCGGGGACTAGGTTCGGCACCAACTACATCGCCCTCTCCAGGCTCGTCCAGCTGCGGTCCACACTGTCGCAGATGGTGCTGAGCGAGGAGTACGCCAACTGGTTGGCGGGGGCTAGGAAGCTGACGGCGGATATGTTCCGCGGCCACGTCATGGACGACGCATGGTGGAAGAATGCTACCTACCTGGTGGAGCTTATGACCTTATGCTCCAGCTGACCGAGGACGTGAACACCAAGCTGGAAGCGGGGGAGAACATTCTGCCGCGGGCGGTTGCAGCTGACATTGGGAAGATTGCTAGGCGCCGTTGGGACGAGAGCCTTGCTTGCGCTCTTCACGTCGTGGGGCGGATCCTGAACCCGGCAAATCAGGAAGAAGGTATTTTCCGCAACGACGTGGAATGTACCCGCATCTTCAAGGCGTTCATCGCACGTCACTACGACGGCAAGACGTTCATCAACAAGGACGGTGAGGAGAGGCGGGCCTCTCTTGTTTTGCAGAAGGGGCTCACGGCCTTCCTCACCCTTGAAGGATCCTTTCGCCTCCCTGAGGCAATTGCCGACAGGAGGCCGTGAAGGCAGGCAAGCACTCGATGGTGCAGTGGTGGTGCAGTGGCACGGGACTGACCACCCCCACCTGGCCAGCCTTGCGTGCCGTGCCCTGACACAGCCGGTGTCGGCCTCGCTGTGTGAGCGCAGGTGGGCATCGTGGGAGTCAGTGCACACTGCCCGCCGCAACAAGCTAGGCTCGGAGAAGCTCCGAGACCTAGTTTTTGTGACCCACAACTGGCATGTGGTCCACAAGTACCACAGGAGGGGTGAGTCACTGGCAGTGCTTCCGAGCAACATCCCTGAACCCGCTCTGCCGGAGGGATACAACAAGGAGGAGAAAGGGGAGGAGGAGGAGGAGGAGGAGGAGGAGGAGGAGGAGGAGGAGGAGGAGGAGGAGGAGGAGGAGGAGGAGGAGGAGGAGGAGGAGGAGGAGGGGGAGGGGGATGAAGCCGTGCTGGCCGATGAGTACGTGGAGTAAGAAAGGCAGCAGCAGCAGGGTAAGTGGTTGAGGAGGCAAATGAAGGTTTGGGGAGTAGGGGAGTTAGGGGATGTATCAGTCATAAGTTGCTAGTATGTGTGTACTTGCAATGCATGTTTGTAATGGGAAAAAAAAAAATCATACGTGGGGAAAAACCCAACTGTGCAAGGTCACAATGAACATAGGCAACGTGACTCACCCCCTGATACTTTTTTCCCCTGCCCGGGAACTTTTTTCCCCTGCCCGGGCGACCGTATTTCGAGCGTATCGTGGGGCGGAAATCCCCCGTCTCATGTACGTACGTGAGTGTATAGTTCGTACGCGACTGGTACGCCAGTCGCGTATTTTGCAACATAGCAGGGCGGACAGCAGCAGAGCTGTGAACGCCAGCGGTGCCACGTGGCCTGAGGCGTGCTGGCCTGAGGCGTGCTGGCCCGTTCCCCACATGCCCTTCAACAAGGCAGTGGTAAGTCAGTCAGGGGGAAGGTCATGAGGGGGAAGGTCGTCGGGCCCAATGGAATCAGAGGAACACATGCCCCACATGCCCTTCAACAAGTCCCTTCTCATACGTCCGCTCCCATACCCTCCTCTCTTCGCCCTTCTCCCCACGCCAGCCCGACCCCAGAGTGTTCCGTATTCGCCTGGTCCGACGAGCACCTCCTACCTCTCCTCACTTTGACTCTCTGACTCATCACAGCCCCCCTCCCATCATGTTCCCTCTCCCATATTCCTCCCCTCACCTTCCCTCCGTCCGTCCTCCCGCCATCTCACCCTGCTGTCCCACCCGTCCCCCCCCAGCCCGCCCCGAGCAGCGAGTACCTGGCATGTGCGTACTCGGACGAGCGCCTCTCCACTCACACTCGTGCTTTCCTTCCGCCCTTCCTTCCTTTCTTCCCCCGTTCATCCCTCCATCGCATCCCACTCCCCCTTCCCGGCCCCCCAGCCGGCCCCAAGCAGCAAGTATGTGGTGTTTGCCTACTCGCACGAGCACCTCTCCAACTCGCGCTCGCACCTCGTGGAGGCAGCGTGCATCGCGCACGCCACCAACCACTTCCTCGGGCTGCCCAAGGTGGGATGTTGTTTTGCTGCCCAAGGTGGTATGTTGTTTTGCTGCCCAAGGTGGGATGTTGTTTTGCTGCCCAAGGTGGGATGTTGTTTTGCTGCCCAAGGTGGGATGTTGTTTTGCTTTTTATGTACCCTCTCCACCATGGTCTCATGCCCCACTGCCCATGCCCCACCGCCCATGCCCCACCGCCCATGCCCCACCGCCCATGCCCCACCGCTCTTGCCCCACTGCAATCCCATTGCAGTGCAGGTGCAGCCAGCTGTGAGTGGAGCTCTTGAGTGCACCCTCTCCTTGCCCCGCCTGTCGCTCTCACGTATCATGCACCCGCATCACGTATCATGCACCCGCATCACCATGTTACCCACATCACCATGTCACCCGCATCACCATGGCACCTGCATCACCATGGCACCCGCATCACCATGTCACCCACATCACCATGTCACCCGCATCACCATGTCACCCACCCCTGCCCCACTTCCTCCCACCACAGGGCAGGCGCAGGCATCTGTCCATGGCGCTCTCGCATGTACCAGCTGCCGCTCTCGTGTAACCTCAGCATGCTCCCCCTGTCGCCCCATCATCCCACCCTTTCCCGACGGCCCTTGCCCCACCACAGGGCAGTCGCAGGCATCTTTCAGTGGCCCGCTCTAGTGCCCCCTCTCCATTCTCCTCTTCTCATCGTGCTCCCCTATCGCCCCATTACCCCACCCTTGCCCCACTGCCTCCCACTGCCTCCCACTGCCTCCCACTGCCTCCCACTGCCTCCCAATGCCTCCCAATGCCTCCCACTGCCTCCCACTGCCTCCCACTGCCTCCCACTGCCTCCCACTGCCTCCCACTGCCTCCCACTGCCTCCCACTGCCTCCCACTGCCTCCCACTGCCTCCCACTGCCTCCCACTGCCTCCCACTGCCTCCCAATTCCTCCCACTGCCTCCCACTGCCTCCCACTGCCTCCCACTACCTCCCACTGCCTCCCACTGCCTCCCACTGCCTCCCACTGCCTCCCACTGCCTCCCACTGCCTCCCACTGCCTCCCACTGCCTCCCACTGCCTCCCACTGCCTCCCACTGCCTCCCACTGCCTCCCACTGCCTCCCACTGCCTCTCACTGCCTCCCACTGCCTCCCACTACCTCCCACTGCCTCCCACTGCCTCCCACTGCCTCCCACTGCCTCCCACTGCCTCCCAATGCCTCCCACTGCCTCCTAATGCCTCCCACTGCCTCCCACTGCCTCCCACTGCCTCCCACTGCCTTCCACTGCCTCCCACTGCCTCCCACTGCCTCCCACTGCCTCCCACTGCCTCCCACTGCCTCCTACTCCCTCCCACTACCTCCCACTACCTCCCACTGGCATGGGGCACGTGCCTACCAGAGGCAACACGGTGGATGTCACCATGCCTGCTGCTGGTGACTCCGTGCTCGCCCGTTTGCACGCATGCTGAGAGCTCTTCTCGTGGGGTCCTTGTTGCACGCATGGTGACAGCTCTGGTGTGGTGGGCGGTGGACATGCCTTGCCGCTGTGTATGGCAGTGGACATGGGGCACGTGCCTACAAGGGGCAGCACTGTGGATGTCACCATGCCTGCTGCCTGTGACTCTGTGCTCACCTGCTTGCACTCATTGTGAGATCTCTGCGTGCTGGATGCATGGTGAGAGCATTTCTCACATGGGCGGCGGGTGGTATGCCATGCGGTTGTGTATGGCATGGGGAACGTGCCTACAAGGGGCAGCACGGTGGATGTCACCATGCCTGCTGCCGGTGACTCTGTGCTGTCCCGCATGCACGCATGGTGAGAGCTGCTCTCGTATGGGTACGCACATGCCCTGTTGCATGCATGATGAGTGGTCTGTTGCATGACATGCCACGCTTACCCCGCCAACCTGTGCATCTCCATGCATCCCATCTCACGCATTCCATCCCATGAGATCCCTCCCCTCCATCGCACAATCCCCATGCGTGCAGGCAGCACAAGCGAGTGGTGGTGTGGGTGAAGGACACGTGGGAGAGGGTGGCGGTTCGAGCCTCACACGGACCTCATATCCTTCCACATGCTGCCCTACAGCCACCCCTGGCACGCCATGGCTCGTGCCCGCATGGCCCGCCTGCCGCCGCGCTACATTGCCGTTCACTTCCGCTCCGAGTTCATTGCCTTTTGACTCATGAGTGCCGAATCGCGCTTCCATCAGTGCACGTGTAAGTGTGCACTCACACTTGCTTTCTCCCTGCCTGTATATAGCTCTCAATGCACACCCTCTTTCTCCCCGCCTGCCCCCCCGCTTCATTGCTCTGCACGGCCGCTCCGACTTCATCTCCTTTCGTCTCATGAGTGCCATGAGTGCCATGAGTGCCATGAGTGCCATGAGTGCCCTGAGTGCCCTGAGTGCCCTGAGTGCCATGAGTGCCACGAGTGCCATGAGTTCCATGAGTGACATGAGTGCCATGAGTGCCATGAGTGCCATGAGTGCCATGAGTGCCATGAGTGCCATGAGTGCCATGAGTGCCATGAGTGCCATGAGTGCCATGAGTGCCATGAGTTCCCTGAGTGCCCTGAGTGCCCTGAGTGCCATGAGTGCCATGAGTGCCATGAGTGCCATGAGTGCCATGAGTGCCATGAGTGCCATGAGTGCCATGAGTGCCATGAGTGCCATGCCACCTCATTACGTCCTTATCCTCCTCTCCTCTCATCCCTGCTCTCCTCCTGCACCCCCCTCTCTCCCCATACCCCTCTCTCCTCTCCTCCTCTCCTCTCCTCTCCTCCGCTCCATCGCACCCTCACAGGCGCAGAGGCTGAAGAGGGACGGCAGGCGGGCGAATGTGAGCAAGCAAGAGAAGATGATGACGGGATGTGAGCAAGCAAGAGAAGATGATGACGGGATGTGAGCAAGCAAGAGAAGATGATGACGGGATGTGTGCGCGCAGCACGGGTGTGTCTCCATCCCAGCCCCATTCCCAAACCCTCAATGCTCCTCTCTTCCCTCTCCTCCATTCCCCCCATGCAACAGGCGCAGAAGCTGAGGAGGGACGGCAGGCAGGCCAACGCGAGCATGCTAGAGGAGATGATTGCGGGGTGAGTGCGGGCGGCACGGGACCTCATACAGCAGGTGCAGCAGGACTCGCACAGCACGGCTTTGTTTATTGCCGCTGACATGCCCGTCACTGCCCGCCCCGCCAGAGAGCAGCCGCTCGGTGAACAGACTGGGGCCTTGCAGGCTGGAGGCAAACCTCGGGGAGGCGAGTCTGGGGGAGGGGAGCCTGGGGGAGGGGAGCAGGGGAGAAGCTGGAAAAGAGGGGGGGAGGCGGGCAAAGGGGCAGGGAGGCAGAGGTGGTGCAGACGGACTCGTGGGTGGGGGAGAGGATGAGGGCGGCACCGCGGGACAGCCTGCGGTGGCTGAGGGAGAGCGTGCCTAGGACTCTCATGGTGGACGAGGTTGTCAAACATATGTGTATATTTGTTATAGTTTGGTTAGGCTTAGTGGGGTACTCACTGTGGGGTACAACCCCTTAGGTTTCTTCTTTGTATCTTTTCCCTTCGATAGTCGACACACAACTTTCTCGTAAGATTATGACATGGTATAGAGCATAGGTCCTTAGGACCTACGATTAGGGCCCACCACGATTGCATGTCTTACCTAGTGCCTACGCGCGCCTCGGCTGCCCGCGCGCGCCTCGGGCGGTCCTTTTTTTTCCCACGTGCGCCGTCTCAGCAGCCCGCGTAGCCCGTTTCGGCCCCGCCTGTGCGCCCCTTAAGCCGCCCGTGCGAAACCTGATTAGGCCACGCCAGCGCGGCCCGTCGCCCAGTGTAGCCCGTAGCGTAGCGACCACCCCGCAGCCGCGCACGTGCGGCCCGTCGCCCAGCGCAACCCGCAACCGCACGTAGAATGCAGCCGCGCACGCTGTAGCCACGCACAGCCCGTAGCTGCAAGCAGCCCGCAGCTCGTGCAATCCGTCGCCACACGTAGCCTGCGGCCGTGCGCGCTGCCCGCAGCCACGCGCAGCCTGCAGCCTCGTGCAGCAAGCCGCCACACGCAGCCCTCAGGCCGCTCCTGTCTGCTGCCTGCTGCCTGCCGCCTGCCTGCTGCCTGCTGCCTGTCGCTCTTGCCTGCCGCCTGCCTGCTGCTTGCTGCCTGCTGCCTGCCTGCTGCTTGCTGCCTGCTGCCGCCTGCCTGCTTGCTGCCTGCTGCCGCCTGCCTGCAGCCTGCCTGCTGCCTGCCTGCTGCTTGCTGCCTACAGCCTACCTGCCTGCCTGCTTGCCGCCTGCCTGCCGCCTGTCTGCAGCCTGCCTTCTGCCTGCCTGCTTGCTGCCTGCTGCCGCCTGCCTGCAGCCTGCCTGCCTGCTGCCGCCTGCCTGCTTACTGCCTGCAGCCTACCTGCCTGCCTGCTTACTGCCTACTGCCGCCTGCCTGCAACCTGCCTGCTGCCTGCCTGCTGCCGGCCTGCTACTTGCTGCCTGCTCTCGCCTGCCTGCTTGCTGCCTGCTGCTGCCTGCCTGCCGCCTGCCTGCCTGCCTGCTTGCTGCCTGCCTGCTTACTGCCTGCAGCCTACCTGCCTGCCTGCTTGCTGCCTACTGCCGCCTGCCTGCAACCTGCCTGCTGCCTGCCTGCTGCCTGCCTGCTACTTGCTGCCTGCTCTCGCCTGCCTGCTTGCTGCCTGCTGCTGCCTGCCTGCCGCCTGCCTGCCTGCCTGCTTGCTGCCTGCTGCCGCCTGCCTGCAGCTTGCCTCCTGCCTGCCTGCTGCTTGCTGCCCCTACCTCCTGCCTCTGCCTCCTGCCTCCTACTTGGTGCCTGCTGCCTCTGCCTGCTGCTTGCTGCCCCTGCCTCCTGCCTCTGCCTCCTGCCTCCTACTTGGTGCCAGCTGCCTCTGCCTGCTGCCTGCTGCCTGCTACCTCCTGCCTTAAGCCAATGTGGCGACGCCTAACGTTCTAGCGTTCGAGCCTGACGGTCGTCCCATCGAGTTCAGTGTATGGTTAGACGATCTCCAACTGTTCCTTCTGACTGATGCCAAAGATGGCGTTTCCCAGTTTGATTACGTCTCTGGCTCTGCCGTTGCTCCTGCTGCTGATGCTCCTGCTCTAGAACACTCCCAGTGGCAGACTCGTGATGCTGCTGCACGTCTAGCTATTAGGAACCACCTGCCGATTACTGAGCGAGCGCATTTCAGCCAACACAGAACTGCTCAGACGCTGTACGACGCTGTAGTTGCGCGCTACTCCTCCCCGGCCACTGCAGCCATAGGTCGACTCATGCTACTGTACCTGTTCCCCGATCTTTCCTCGTTCACCACTGCTGAGGACCTAGTTTCTCACCTGCGCGCTACTGACTCTCGCTTTCGTGCCGCCCTTTCAGCCGAGTTCTGCGCCGCAAACCCCCTCCCCGATGTACTTCACTCTCTATTTCCTCGTCACCCGCCTCCCTGACACTCTTAGCTCTGTCAGGGACCACTTCCTAGCGCTAGACCCCACCACTCTCACTGTAGACGACTTCGAGAAGCACCTCCTCGCAGCAGAGAAGAACATCCTCGCTGTAGGTGCTGCTCATGGCACTCCTCGCTCTCCCCTCTTTGAGGGGTGCTCCCCCTCCCCTCTCACCCCCTCCTACGCCTCCGCAGCTGCTGCTCACGACTACCTTGGTGCTGAGGGGGTCGGAGCTGCTTCCGCTCCTAGTGGGAATCGTCGCAGCGGCAGGGGCAGCAGGGGTGGCAGGGGCGGTGGGGGTGGAGTTGGTGGAGGTGGTGGAGGTGGTGGAGGTAGAGGCGGTGGTGGGGGTGGTCGTGGGGGTGGAGGCGGTGGAGGTGGTGGTGGGGGCGGCGGAGGCACTGGGAGCGGTGGAGGCGGCAGCAGCGGAGGTGGGGGAGGAGGGAGCGGTGGTGGCAGTGGTGGTCAGGGCCAGCAGCAGCCGCAGCAGCAGCAGCAGCAGCAGCCGCAGCAGCAGCAGCAGCATCAGCGTCAGCGCCAGACCCCCACTTCCCAGCAGCTTCTTGACTGGTATGCCGGGCGTGGGGCTTCTGGGGGTCCTGGTCGCTGCCCCTATATCATCCGCACAGGTCCCCGCGCTGGTCGCCAGTGCACAGGTTTTCACACTGAGCAGCGCTGCTTCGCTCGGCTTAGCGACGCCTGGCGCGCCAAGTTTCCTGATGCTACTGAGTTCCCCAACTGGGCAGACTTGCTTAGGCGTGATGTACCTATCTTTGATCTTGACTATGAGGCAATTCTTGCTGCTATGTATGCCTTGTCTGTTAGTGCTGAGGGTGACTGCTACTTGTGTGTGCCGCCGGATCCTGGTATAGCCCCTGGTATAGCCCCTGCAGCACTAGGTGCTTGTGAGTCTGCTCCCCTTGGTACTGCGCCTGCACAGGCTTTGCACACCTTTACACTTGACTCTGGTGCTTCCCGCTGTTTCTTTCGCGACAGTACCACAGTCACTCCCCTCCCTGCACCTATTCCTGTCTCACTGGCTGACCCCTCTGGGGGCCCAGTGCTTGCACGGTCTTCCACTGTGCTTCCGTGTCCGGCGGTCCCGTCTGGTGAGCTGTCTGGTCTCCACCTCCCCTCGTTCTCTACGAACTTGGTGAGTAACGCTGTCCTCCAGGATGCGGGGGTTGACACCTTCACCCCTGGCCGGCAGTGTGTGGCGATTTGCACGTGCTCCCAGACTGGTCGCCACCTGGCCACGTTCGCTCGTGCGCCGGGGTCCAGTCTGTACACCCTCACCACTGCGTCACGCTCCGTCCCTTTGTCTCCCCAGTTGCACGCGTCTGCTCAGGTAGCTACACAGTGTGAGTGTCACCGGCTGTCGCACGACACTCTCCTGTGGCACCACCGCCTTGGTCACCCCTCCCTGCCTCGCACTCCCGCCTCCTGGTTTCTGGGCTTCCCAGGTCTCTGCCTCCCCTCCCTCCCTCGCCTGCGCCGCCCTGCATTCCCTGCGTCGAGGGGCGGCAGCGCGCCGCTCCTCACTCCTCCTCGTTCCCTCCCACAGAGGCTCCACTGCAGACTCTCCACCTGGACGTGTGGGGCCTAGCCCGCGTCCGTGGACAGGGCCACGAGTGGTACTTCCTGCTGGTTGTCGACGACTACACGCGCTACACCACGGTCTTCCCCTTGCAGCGCAAGGCGGATGCCCCTGATGTTTTGATCCCCTGGATCCGCGCTACTCGTCTCCAGCTCCACGAGCGGTTCCAGTCGGACTTTCCTGTCCTGCGTCTGCACTCTGACAGAGGTGGTGAGTTCTCCTCAGACCTCTTGGCAGCCTTCTGTGCGGAGCACGGCATCCGCCAGACTTTCACGCTTCCGGCCTCTCCTCAGCAGAATGGGGTTGTTGAGCGCCGCATTGGCTTAGTCATGGAGGTCGCTCGTACCTCCATGATCCATGCGGCTGCCCCCCATTTTCTGTGGCCGTTTGCGGTCCGGTACGCCGCGCATCAGCTCAACCTTTGGCCCCGTGTCTCCTTGTCGGAGACCTCGCCCACACTGCTGTGGACGGGGAAGGTTGGCGACGCGTCGCGTTTCCGGGTCTGGGGTGCTCGTGCCTTTGTCCGCGATACCACCGCGGACAAGCTCTCCCCTCGCGCCATTCCTTGCGTCTTCCTTGGCTTTGTCCCTGACGCGCCTGGCTGGCAGTTTTACGACCCCGCCTCGCGCCGTGTCTTTGCGTCTCAGGACGTCACCTTTGACGAGTCCGTCCCCTTTTACCGCCTCTTCCCCTACCGCACTGCTCCTCGCCCCCCCCCCGCCGCTCTTTCTCGCCCCAGGTCCTCCCCAGGTAGACCCCCTCCCCGCGCCAGGTCCTGCTCCTTCAGGTGTCTCTCAGGTAGACCCCCCCGCGCCTGCGCCTATTGAGGTCACTGGTGACTCCGGTCCTGCTGCGAGTAGTGCTGTCCCTGGGGGTGCGGAGCTTGGGGGTGCTGAGTCTGGGGGCGCTGAGCGTGAGGAGCCTGGGGGTGCTGCGTCTGGAGGTGCTGCGTCTGGGGGTGCTGAGCCTGCGTGTGCGGAGCCTGGGGGTGCTGAGTCTGGGGGTGAGTCGCCTGAGGGTTCTGCGACTGCTTTTCCGCGGTCTCCTTGGAGTAGCCGTCTTCGTCCGCGTGTGCCCCTCACCTCCCAGCAGCTGCACGACTGGTACGGTCGCCGTCATCGTCGCGCTTCTGCACCTCAGGGCTCTACTGCTGGGGGTTCTCCTGCTGGTGTCGCTGGTCCCGGAGGTGCTCGTACTGAGGGTACTGGAGCTGCTGGGGCTGGCGGTGTTGTGACTGAGGGTACTGGCGCTGCAGAGGGTGCTGGAGCTGCTGGAGGTACTGGAGCTGCTGGAGGTGCTGGCGGTGCTGGAGCTGCTGAGGGTACTAGAGCTACTAGCGGTGCTGGAGCTGCTGAGGGTACTGGAGCTGCTGGAGGTGCTGGAGCTACTGGTGCTGGTGGCACTGCTCAGGAACGCCTGTTCTTCGCTCCGCCGTCTCCGTCGTCTCAGCCACCACCTGACTCTGCACTTCGCCAGGTTCTCAGTCTTCCCTCGTCTACTGGTCTTCCGTTACAGCCTGGCTCACTGCTGCCTGCTCCTTCTCCGTACACAGAGCAGACTAGGGGCCTTGCTGAGCGTCGTGAGCCTGCGTCGCGTCCTGTCTCACCTGTCCGTTCTGGTCGTTCCGGTCGTTGTTTTCCTCGTCAGCGGCAGCCGGCTGTCTCCGGCTCTCACCTTGTAGTTCGTCGTCCTTCCTCTCCTCCGATGCGTGTTCCTCTGCCGTCTCCCCCTGCGTCCTCTCTGCCTGTCGTTGCTGACCCTGCGTCTGACCAGTTTCGTGCTGAGCACTCTACTGTCACGCGTCTGCTTGCCACTGTTGTCACTGACACGTCGTTTGAGTCTGCTGCTGCGTCTGCCTTAGTCGCTGAGCTTGTTGACTTTGCTGCTGCCTGTCGTCTCGACTACGCCGCCAGTCTTGTTGCTGAGTCTGAGTCTGTCTGTCCTCCGTCCGTCGGGGGTGAGTGTGCTCTTGGCACGGACGTCCTTGAGGACAGACAGGAGGACCTTGAGTGTCTTGCAGCCGCTGCGCCTCATCTCGTATCCATGCTGCTTGCCCCTGAGGGAGACCCGGATGCACCAGACATCCCTACCCCGCGCTCTTACGCTGAGGCGATCGCGGGTGAGTACTCCTCTCAGTGGCAGACAGCCATGGACGCAGAGATGGCATCCTGGAAGTCCACAGGCACCTACGTCGACGAGGTTCCCCCTCCTGGGGCGAACATTGTCAGTGGCATGTGGATTTTCAGGGTGAAGCGGCCGCCAGGTTCTCCGCCTGTCTTCAAGGCTTGGTACGTGGCTCGAGGCTTCAGTCAGCGAGAGGGAGTTGACTTCTTCCAGACCTTCTACCCCACCCCGAAGATGACCACTCTTCGGGTGCTGCTGCACGTTGCCGCTCAGCGTGACTACGAGCTTCACTCTCTTGACTTCAGCACAGCCTTCTTACAGGGCAGCCTGCACGAGGAGATTTGGCTGCGCTGCCCTCCTGGCTTCACTGGGTCGTTCCCTCCTGGTACCCAGTGGAGCCTCCGGCGGCCGGTCTACGGTCTCCGCCAGGCGCCACGTGAGTGGCACGACACACTGAGGACGACACTTGCGGCTCTTGGGTTTGCTCCGTCGACTGCTGACCCGTCGCTGTTTTTGCGCACCGACACTTCTCTGCCGCCGTTCTACGTTCTCGTGTACGTCGACGACTTGGTCTTTGCCACTGCTGACACTGAGGCTCTCGCCCTGGTGAAGTCGGAGCTGCAGAAGAGACACACGTGCACAGGCCTGGGTGAACTGCGCAGCTACCTTGGCTTGCAGATCACCCGGGACAGAGCACGCCGCACCATCACACTGACTCAGTCACACATGGTGCAGCAGGTCCTTCAGTGCTTCGGTTTCACCTCGTCCTCAGCACAGGCCACTCCTCTGGCTACAGGTCACTCGCTCTCAGCTCCACCTTCGGACGAGTCCGTAGAGCCGAGTGGTCCTTACCCAGAGTTAGTGGGCTGCCTCATGTACCTGATGAGTTGCACTCGTCCTGACCTTGCGTACCCTCTTGGCCTTCTGGCTCGCTACGTGGCTCCTGGTCGGCACCGAAAGGTGCACATGGATGCTGCCAAGAGGGTACTACGCTACTTGTGCAGTACATCGGGCATGGGGCTCGTGCTTGGAGGACGGGGAGACGTTGTCCTCACAGGTCACTCGGACGCCTCTTGGGTTGACGACCAGGCTACGCAGCGGTCGTCACAGGGTTACACCTTCAGCCTTGGTTCTAGTTCAGTTTCCTGGCGTTCTACACGTTCGTCTTCAGTTCTCGGCTCCAGCTGTGAGGCAGAGATCTACGCCACAGCCATGGCTGCACAGGAGCTGCGCTGGCTCACCTACCTGCTGACCGACTTGGGAGAGAGGCCTCGTTCTCCTCCAGTTCTGTACGTCGACAACAAGGCCGCCATTGCCTTGTGTCAGGAGCACAGACTGGAGCACAGAACAAAGCACATCGCTCTCCGTTACTTTCTTGCTCGAGAGCTGCAGCAGCGTGGCCAGCTTCGTCTTACCTACGTGGCCACTCGGGCCAACACTGCTGATATATTCACCAAGGCGCTTCCGCCTGGTGATCATCAGCGTTTCTGCACTTTGTTAGGCCTTGTGCCCACTCTTCCTCACTTGCTGTAGGCCTTGTTTGTACCATGATTTATATGTATTCCTGCTTGCTTGTTCTTGTAGGTAGATATCACTGTACTGTTGTTGTTACATATATATTTCTGCATGTGAACTGGCCTTGTGGCCTTCTTGCTTGTGCTCAGACTGCGTGGTGACGTTGTGATCCACCCTGAGCTTGCTTTGCACTTCCTGACTGGTCTTGTGACCCTCTGTTCTCCCCCACTTTGCCTATGGGGGTGTGTCAAACATATGTGTATATTTGTTATAGTTTGGTTAGGCTTAGTGGGGTACTCACTGTGGGGTACAACCCCTTAGGTTTCTTCTTTGTATCTTTTCCCTTCGATAGTCGACACACAACTTTCTCGTAAGATTATGACAGAGGTGCTCCCAGAGGTCTACCAGTACGATCCCGGTGAGTGCAGAGCGGTGGGGAGCAGTGCAGCGTGGTGTGCAGTGGTGATGGACGGGCATTGGTGATGGGTTGGTTTGTGTGCACGCAACTGTTGCCTGTATTGCTCGCACTCTATCTAACCCCCTCTTCATCCCTGCGCTCTTCGTTGTCCGCCTCTCCCCCTCACCAAGCTGGTGAGGCATCGTGGCATTAGTGGACAGGCTGGTGTGCGCACACACACTTGTGTTCCCTGCATTCGTTGCACTCAGCATGAGTGTTTCTTATCACACTTTCTCCACTTCCACCGACCACGTGCAGGCATCGTGGCGATTGTAGACAAGCGGGTGTGTGCGCACGCACACATCTTCCTGGCAGGCTCCATCCCCTGTGGGGGGGGGCGCGGGTTCGAGCAGGACATAATCAACCACCGCTGGCAGCTCAACCACCCGAGCTCTTCCCTCAGGCGATGGGCCACCGACGCTACCGCATACCTCAACTCGCGAGAATGACTCACCGTGTGCGTTTCGAGTCGACTCCAACACTTGTGGCGGTGGGTGCGGGTACCTGTGAGGGCGGTCGGGGGTTCGCAAGGGACAGGAGGAGCAAAGCAACCACAGTGGCAGCTGAACCACCGTGGCAGCTGAACCACCGTGGCAGCTGAACCACCGTGGCAGCTGACCCACCGTGGCAGCTGACCCACCCTCACTCCTCGCTCCAGCGATGGGCCACGGATGCAACCACGTTCCTCGACTCACATGGGTCTGATTCTCCTTGCGTACAAGCTTCCGGAATCTACGTTAGAAGACGCAAGTCGTGGAAGAGGCATGCATGCGAGTAATCACAGAGATGGGGTACAGAGGCAAGGCAGTGAGTCAGCAGTGAAAGGGGAGGGAGTCGCATGCGCTGTCGGACTGGCTGCTGAATGCATGCATGTATGCTCCAGACTTGAATATGTTCAACCAGTGCATATGCAAGCATGTGCTGTACTATGGGCTGTGGGCTCCACACCACACTTCTTGAAATATCCTTCCAGTTCCAAGTACGGTACCAACATTCCCCTGGTTTCTCCTCCCTAGTAATGATCTTCCCTGCCAGTCTGCTTGGCTGTGCCGCAGTACATACTGGGTTGAGAGACCAAGCCCCACGACGTGCACACGGACAGTTGCAGTTCTTCCTCCCCCCACCCATCCACCCAAGGAACCACACAGTGCATACTGCCTACAGGGACGTGTTGCTGCCAGGTTGTTGATACTTACCCGTGCAGTGTGGCTGCTGTACCAATGCAGCGTCCAGCACAGGGCTCTGTACACAACAGAAGACACACTCCCCAACGAAGTGTTGAGTTCTATTGGAATCAAGCTAGTACAAGCTCTATATATAGGCAACTCAAAAGCACACAACTTGGCGCATGCTATTAGTGTGTTAGCTACCGTACTAAAACATATTCCTTGCAAAAATACTCGCGGTCATAAGTCTGGCGGGATTAGCACTGTACTGATGCCATGAATCGAAAAAGTCGACCCGACGAAAATATTCGGAACAATGACGAGCGACGGGACGAGTTCCCGCCCTTGAAAGAGCGTCAGCGGTTGAAAATTCGGCCCTCGTTTAATCAGCGGCATCCCTTCAAGAGTTTCCAGCTCGGTGCCGCCCGGGAGGGTGGTGAGATTGACGTAGGAGTAGCGTTTGGTGATGACGTGGAAGGCGAGGATTTGATCTCGCTTGGCCGGGGAGAAGGCGGTTCTCATGAAGGAGAGGACCTCGGGGGAGAGCGGGAGGAGGATGGTGACGTCAGACAGTGACGTGAGCGCTGATACTGTTGATGGGGAAGGGGACGGGAGGAGATGGAAGGAGGGATGTGGGGGAGAGAGGGGAGGGAGGAGGGGTGGGGGAGAAGGGAGGAGAAAGACATTAGTTGTGTGCAGGGAGGAGAGAGTTGCTGCACTACATGGAAATGTATGCCACGTGGACGGATCTGAAAGCAGCAACGCTAAATGAGCGGCCGCCGAGGGGAATGGGGGTGAAGTGGAGTTTAGAGACGTCTCTAAACTCGCTCCCTAGTGGCGTGGGGCGTTGAGAGTCGAATGGCGACGAAATTGGGCTGAGGACGCGGGTGGCGGGAGGGAGGGCAGCGCGGGGTATAGCAGCGCGTGTGAAGGGAGGAGCAGGTGGATAGCTTTGAGACGCCTTGGCGCGCAGTAAGGCTCAACGAGGGTTGCTAGCTAGGGTGAATGATGGGGCGAGGATCGGAGGAATAAGGGGCGGGGATTGGGAAAGAACGGGCGGGATAGAGGGACGAAGGAACAAGCGCAGGGGAGCTTGCTGTAGGGTGGCGGTGGCGGGTGAATGCATGGCGGCGATTCGCTTGGGTCCCTGGGATGAACATCGAGGCAAATGCGCGGAGGAGCGGCGCGCGGAGGAGGGAAGTGCGGAGGGGAGAAGCGCGGAAGAGGGAAGCGAGGAAGCGGGAAGCACGGAGGAGGGAAGCGCGGAGGAGGCAACGAGAGAAGGAGCAACGCACGGGAGGGAGATCGCGGGCAGCGAAGGACGCGGCGAGGCGTTGATGCGCAAGGTGGTGCGAGGATGGGGAAAGGCGGGGAGGCGGAAAGGAGGAAAGCGGGGGCGGCGAGGAGGGGGAAAGCGGGGGGCTGAGCGAGGGGGGAGTAACGTGGAGGAATGGGAAACAATGCGCGTGGGGCTTAAAGTGAACCCCGGACGGGACGCGCGCGGGAGCGGACGACAGCGGAGAACAGAGCAAAGAAGGGTAGAGAGGGGTAGAGGGGAGTTGAGGGGGGTAGAAGGTGGTTGAAAAAGCAGGGATGGAGGAAACGGCACTGTCGAACCAGGAAGGGGCGGAGGGGTCGCGGAAACGACAACGCGGGGAGGTGGACCAGGAAAGAGGGGGGCGACGGCGGGGGAGCAGGCAGGAGAGACGGCGGGAGTGCCCGACCTAGAGTGGGAGAAGGGGGGGAAGCGGCGGATGGAGGTGGAGAGAGAGGCCCTGGAAGCACGGTGGACGGTGCGGGGACGACCCGCGTAAGGCGTCGTAAGCGGGTCGTAGCGCATCGGATGGGGTCGTAAGGGGTCGTAATGTATCGTACGGGTATGTAGGGGTCATAGCGGCTCGTAGGGGGGCGCATCGGATCGTAGGGGTTCACGAGGGCTCGTAGAGGGGGAATCGTGCGGGATTGGTGGGGTTGCGGGGGGGGGAGAGTGGGAGATGGAGGGGAGGCAGTGGAAGGAAGGAATATGGACTTTTGGGGAGCGCGAGAGGGAAGAGGGACGCACGCCATTGGCTGATGACGTCTTTCACGGTCGCGAACTCTGCTCGTTGATTGATTTGCGCGATGGCTTGCTGCAGCTCCGCTCTCCGTATCGCCTCCACGCCGCTTGCTTGCAATAGTATTAGTAACGAGAAAACTATAGCGAGTACGGGTACTGAGTGTTGCCATCTTTGCTGCCGGCAAGCCATTGAATAAATAAAATGGAGGGCGAAAAGGGATGTCTGTCTTGAAAAGAGGATATGAAACCTGACGGATACTACTATGGCTGATAGTTTTGTCCCAAAGAACTGCTTCTGAGGACGCACGCAGATCGAAAGACGTGCTTAGCGATTAAACGCTGAAACCCTAAAACGGCTTTTCGCTGATGTCGTATCGTCTTTGTCGACCGTCGAACGCCATTTTGCCAACGCTACGATGACACGCCGCTGCAGACTACGGGACGTGCGCTTCGCAGGTGTGAGGGGCTGATAAGCAGTGCGGAAGAAACCGTAGATACTTGAGGACTAGCGGGCAATTGACTAACGGAGAGTGAACTAGCGTTCGAGGAGTGAAACGTTAACGATGCGTGAATTACTAACTTTCAACCCGAATAGGAGTCACAGAAGACGACGGAACTAGAAGCCTGAGTCGGTGGCCTCAATCCATTGCTGCTGGTAATACAAATGGTGGTAACCAGTCGATGGCCTGTCAGGGTTGGTTGGTTGTCTGAAATGCTGCTGCTGGGATGCCCTGCCAAGCCAACCTTCCGCCATGACAGAGCAGTGATTGACGGTGGGAAGGAAGGGCGTTGGTCAGGGAGGGGCCAGGGCAGGCTGACTGGGGGGAGTTCAGCCAAGAGCTGGATGGGGGGATACTCGGGGAAACCACCTCGGCGTCAGAGGGCCAGCCTGTGAGGGGCACCTGGCAGTACTGGGCAATATGGGTTGATGGATGGGGGGACAGTTTCGAGGGTTGGGAAGCTACTGTACAGTACATGGGGTCAGATCAGGTCACAGTCACGAATGTTGGGGAAGAGGTGCACGAGCACGAGCCGGGGAGTAGGCGTACACCGGGCTATGCTTGGCGGTTTTGGAAGAAAGGCGTTGAAGAGATGCCGTGCGGCAGTTGGAAGGGGGATTGGGGGCGAAGCTCGTGAGCACCACACAGTTTCGTGCAGTCTGGTTACCATCTCCGAGGCGATGCTCAAGGCAGCGTGCGAAACACCAGTGTGTCCAGAATGCGCAGGCGGGACATTCGGTGGTGACAAACCACAGACACCACCCACAACTTCCGTCGATCCGACAGACAGGATTTTACAGGTCATGTTCCCCTCCTCGCAAACTTTTACCACTGCGCTTCCGACAATGACAGCTGTACATGGGGCTGGGCTCGGATCATGGCTTCTGCAGTCACCTCGTGCTCCAGATGCATGTCGTCTAGCGAGCGAGAGGCGGTTGCAAATGAGTAGGTTTAGCATTTTCAAGGGCTATTAGTTTTTCTACCCTTGTTTCATCCCAAACCTCCTGACGGTAAAGGTCGTAATTGAATCTCCAAGTGCCTCTCTCGTGTGCTTTAGAAGCTCGCATGTCCGGGTCACCGCGTCGGCACAATACCCAACCACATCATGTGGTAGTGACCAGCGTCCTCAATCCGTTACACATCCTGGCACGTACAGGTTGCCCTTTCTCATGACCTGACCGTCCGATGTCTCTATGCTAGGGCAAACGAGATGGGTCATCTAGTCCAGAAATGTCGAGACCAACATCCACAGTACGGACAGAGCGATGCGTGGAGTGGAAAGGCATGCACTCCGGGACGCCATTGTTACTTGATTGGTACTCAACGTTTCGTTACAGTTATAGCATCTATCAGGTGAGGCGGTAGATTATGCAACGATAAACATGCTACTCTTATCATGCTTTGTGATTATACCCTGCTCTAACAACGGCTCTAACAATACATCTCTAAAACGGAATTTTATTATTCCCATTTCACCTAAACCTCGTAGCTGCAATTCAATAAATTGCATCACTGCCTCTAAACGCCTGGGGTTAGGAGTCGAATGACCAAATCATTCTGTTACAGCAGAGTCGCCCCCGCCGCCCTCTTGCATGACGAGCCCTTACAACACACACGCCTTTCCAATACCAACCCACCACGCCCTTACTCCGCCATAAACCCACACCAACTTTCCAACGGGGATCACAAGTCGGCGGGGATGAGGAGCGTCGTGGTTCCTTGGATCGTGAAGTCCGAGCCCACCCACAAGTTGGGGATGATCAGCATGCTCCAAAGAGTCGCGCCCGTTCCCTGGAAACCCACAACTGGCTGGTAGTTGGGACCGCGCTTCGTAATGGTGCTGCCTTCCAGCGAGTCGAGCGACGCGCCGCCCTTCATGTTGGTGAAGTTGCGGTAGAGATAGCGGGTGGTGATGGTATTGTACGATAGGATCGTCGTTTGCTGGTCCGAGGTGTACGCGTACAGCTGCGCGATGCCCACCGGTATTAAAATGGTGATGTCCGTAAGGGGAATAAGCTGCTTAACTGCCCAGGGGAGAAGATGGAAAGGAAGGAAATGGTGGGCAGGAGACTCATAGAAACGAAATGGATAACAATATATAGCTGCTGTACGTTGTCGTGGGAAAGCAAGGTGTGGATGTGCTGCGGCTCCTCCAAACGCCTTGGCAATCTATGTAACAAATAACAGACGTAAGCAAGATGTGGATGTGCAAATACATAAATAACATTGCGAACGTAATTTCCTTCGCTCCATAATAAACGACATTCTGCACCAGACCCGAAGGAGAGGACGATAGAGAAGATGGTGCGCGAAGCTTTGCGATTGGTCGCAAGGCTTCCGTATCAGGCATGCTGATGTGAAATGGACGAACCCATGACGCAGATGAACTTTTATCGCACGAGGCCTCACAGGGACGCCTCTTGACTTGCGCAGCCTCCTCAAGTGCGCCGTCAAATGGAGTCATTTACAGCACGGTTCGATTGGCTCCATCCGGAAGAGAACATTATTTATATAGCAGGGCACTTACGGTATTTGTCGATCAAGTCATGGACGTTCTTAAACTCCGGTCTTTGCTTGATGCCGTCGCTCGCCTTTCGTACCTCCCGCGGGTTCAGCGCTGCCGCTTGGTGTTCTTGCCACACGGCCACGAGCAACAATAGGGTGACCAATTTGACGAACGTTTTCATGGCTTCTTGCAGGAAGACTTTTTACATGTGCGTTTCCAATCCGCTACTGCGCTTGTTTGTGAAGCAAGTCTACAACAGCCTGATAAAAAATGGGCGGCACTGATGAGCCCGGCGCTGAAGGAAAAGACGTCTTCCGATCCGCGACTGCAGCTGGTTCCAAGATATCGCTACTAGCCGGTTCGAGAACGACTGAACAAGGTTTCACCCTAAACTTTGAAAGCGTGTCAGAATAAGCGGCTCTTCTAAGCACTACTAGCGACTCTGACCCTAATCGGCACGTGCGAGAGAGCTGTTCGACACCGTAAATAACTGGCAGAGACGACCAATTCTGTAGGGTGATAATGCGTAAACCACTTCACGGAAGGCATGCCCTGGATCCTCCCCGCTCGGAAATTTGTTCAGCGTCTTTCGCAGCACCTCACCTTTCTTTGGCTTGGCCAGAATCGCTGTTGTGCTCATCCAAAGATGCTGCGTGCAGTTGTGCTGCATGTGATGTAGGTAGGCGTACACCGTCGCCAGAAACACCTTCATCGCTATTGTCCCTCGCGCACCTCTCCTTGCACACTTCCCTCCAGCTGGTAACACTTGCGAAACACATTGCTTCTCGCGAAAAAAGTTTGCTGCCCAGATGACCAATCGCCTTCCACGAATTCCATCAATAGCATCTCGCTCGTTAGACAGGCATGAAAGTGTTGCTGGAAAGGTTTGCGATGTTTGGCGGTGCGAGTAGCCCCATCAACACCGGGGCACGTGAGGTGTGACCCAGCATCAGAATGAATGTGGTCGAGTCGGCGGGGTAGGTAACCCAGGCCGCAAAAATCGCAATGCGCATCCCAGTGTGCTTACGTGCGATTGCGACGCGGTTCAATGCCTTGAACACATCAAGCATTACTTTCGCCTTTCGATCACTACAGTAGACATTGTTTTGATTACCCAACTGTCGTGACTATCTATTCCCACAATAAATCAGTGCACATCAATCTCTCAAATTATGTTTACTACTATCTAGGCTGTAGTGGGTTTAGCCTTAAGGGGTACACTAAGCTGCTCGACACTTCATTGTATCCCCCTCCTTGCCCTAATCCATCTCATTCCTTCCTACCTATCTCAACATGGTATTAAGAGCCATTAGGTCCTTATGACCAGATTTTTAAAAGGGCCCACCGTTAAGTCTTCGATTTCCTGCCCGAATCGCGCCCCTATGCGCGTCATTTTTTTATCCTGCCTGAATCGTGACCTTATGCACGTCGATTTTCTACCCGAATCGCGCCCCTAGGCACCTCGGTTTTCCTGCCCAAATCGCGCCCCTAGAAGCGACGGTTTTCCTGCCCGAATCGTGACCTTAGGCACAACGAATTTCTGCCCGTATCGCGCATGTAGGTGCGTCGATTTTCCTGCCCTTCCAGCGCGTGCCTGCCCTGCAAACGCTACCCACGCGCTGTCCTGCCCCGCCCGCGCGCGGCTGTCCTGCCCTGCCCTACGCGCTGTCCTGCGCTGCTCGCGAGCGCCTGCCCTGCGCTCTGCCAGCGACCCACACCCGCGCTAGTCCTGCCCTGCACTACGCGCTGCCCTGCGCCGCCCGCGAGCGCCTGCCTTG